GTGAGTCTGGAGTCAGACCATGTCCCCGGTGCCCTCACCTCAGTGGCAGACACATGCTTCCTTCCCCTGATGTGTAGCAGTCGCTGGACGTTGTACATGTTGGTCTCCACATGCTTGAGAGCAGAGGCTTGGCCTCCCTTCCTGTAGCTGAGAAAGGGACAGGGACCCATGATTGAAAACACACTTCGTGCAAGAATGAGTGTGGGAGTGAGCAAATGCACGTGTGCAATTATGTGTGGGGATAATACATGTCTGTGTAATACATGTATTTGAGTACCTGTGAGCACGTGTATGTGTGAGTACATAGGTACACGAGGCACAAGTGTGCATTGCTTATTAGCATGTAGAACTGTGTAGACTGAGGTACGTTAGGGGATTTCATATGGGCTTTTTACCCAGGTGAGTCTAGATGTGAGTAGATGGAAAAGCATATCTGTGTGGTGGATATGAATATTCAGGTATGCATGCCCATCCACAGGACATGCATGGGGTGGCATGTTTTATTTCATGTACACACAGACTTTTCTGTACCATATGCAAATATTTGACCCAGTGATTTGAAACAAAAATGATTTAGTATTGGCAATTAGGTTAACTATTTTCAATCTAAATACTTGAATGCCAGGTGGTGATGGTGTACACTTTTAGTCTCAGCACTTGGGAGGTAGAGGCAGGCAAATTTCTGTAAGTTCAAAGCCAGTCTGGTCTACAAAGTGAGTTCAGGACAGCCAGAGCTGTTACAAAGAGAAACCCTGTTTTGAAAAATGAAAAACCAAACCAAACCAAAACTAAAAACAAAAAAGCCACAAAACAAAACAAAACACCTTGAAGCAAAAGTAAAGGAGACACTTCTCCCAGCAGGACAAAGCGAGCTCTGGATAACACTGGTGACCACTCCCACGTACAGATGGAGACCAACGACAAGGTGGCCACAAGCATTCACAGTAGAACAGCCCCAAAGTAGAAGCGGCACACACGTCCGCTGGATGCTGAAGTGATAACATATGGTAGGTTCGAACAGCGGACTATCATCTCACAGTGAAATGAAGTCAAGTGATAATGCATGCCACAGTATGGGTGGTGGATCTTGGACACAGGATCAGGAGGGATGAAGCTCAGTGGTTGAGGCTTGCCTGCCATGTGGGCAAGGCTCTGGCCTCCATCCTTAGCACAGGAGGAAGAGGAGGAGGAGGGGAAGCAGGAGGGAAAGGAGGACGAGGATGGTGAGGAGGCAGAGGGGGAGGCAGAGGAGGAGGGAGAGGAAACGATTAAGACAAAATGAAAACAAGTCAGCCACGGAAGCTCACTTTCTGTGTGGTTTCACTTACAGAACAAGTCCAAATGGGCAAATGTATAGACAGAAAGCAGGCTAGTCACTGCCTTTGGCAGGGGAAAGGATGCAGGAAAGACCTGGAAAGAGGCTGCCCAAACACAGCAGACTTTTCAAGGTGATGAAAACATTTTAAAACTGATTGTAGTAATGGTTGCATACCTCTTAAACCACTGGATTGTATGCTTGAGATGGGTGGAATGTATGTGAGCTTACATATGTTAACAAAGTCCCTTCTCTCTTACACACACACACACACACACACACACACACACACACGTGCTCGATTCAGCCAAAGAAAAGCCATTATCTCAGGTGGCAGGTGGAACCCTCACCAGAGTATTTAACACACTGTGTCCCCTCTGTGCCCAGCTCTCTCAGCACTCACATGACTCCGGGGCGGAAATAGCTGTGGAAGCAGTCGGACTCATGGCCCTGAGACTCTCGGTGCAGCACTGTCCCATCTCCTAGAGCCTCCCGTAGACGCTGCAGGAAGGTGACTGCAGCCCCCTGACTCTCTGCGCTGGCCTCCTTGCCGATCCAGTAGTGCAGGTCGCCGGACCCTCCCCGGGGAGCCTTTGGGCTCTGAGGGACCTAGGGCCCAGGCATTGTTATATGTGGAGGGGATGGGGCCAGGCTCCAGGGTCTGGTTGGAGAGTGTGGTGGAGCCAGTGATCAAGGAACCAGTGGGCAGGCGCTTGGACGGAGGCCATGAGGGGAAATGGGGACAAGAAGGCCCTAGGGCAGCAGCCCCTTGTGGGTGGCATGTGGTATGGGGGCTCTTGATCTCAAGACAGAGTTTATTCCCAGGCCTGAGTTTCTTCAGTTCTGGGCCATGTCACCCCTCAGACAGACTCCCCAAGTGGCTTACGTGGAGGATGACATAACAGCATTCCTCGAAGAAATTCCCATGAGCCCTTTCAGGCAGTGGCAGCATCTTTAGGTTCTGAGAGAAGAGGTTGCTAAGTAACAAGTTAGGGACCCCTGCTTATGACTCCCAGAGAAAGGGGAGAGGAGGGAGCTCTCGATGGGAGATGGGGGATTATTCCATGTCCCAGGCTGTGCTGTCTGGGCTTGCCCTCACCTCAGTAATCCATATTTGGAGGGCTCTGTGTCTGTCGATGGCTGCGACGTCTTGGTTGGTGTCCATCCTAGGCTAGTCAAGAATGATGGAGATGCAAATGTTGGAGGCCAACCTCTGGCTACCTTCGTTACAGGCTCCACGCAAGAGTTTTCCCACCACCTAATGCTCTTCAAAACACCTTCATTATAGAAGGTGACTTTCATTAAACATGCGACTTCAGCAAACCAGGACAGGCTCAGTGACAGACTTACAGGGACCTGGGCAAACTTCAGCAAACCAGGACAGGCAGGAGTGACAGACTTGCAGGGACCTGGGCAAACTTCAGCAAACCAGGACAGGCTCAGTGACAGACTTACAGGGACCTGGTTTGTCTGCGGGAATGCTTTACAACAGGCAGAGCTCTCTGGCCAAGAGTGCCCCTCCACAGCAGCAACATCTGTAGAGTTAGAAACTGACCACAAAGGGCTGGAGGTGTAGTTCAGTTGGTAGAATGCTTGCCTAGCATGCATAAAGCCCTGGATTTGACCCCCAGCACCACACAGAACGTGGCATGGTGGTGCCTGGCTTTAATCCCAGCACCCAGGAGGTGGAGGCAGGAGGATCAGAAGTTCAGGATCATCCTCAGATATATAGTAAATGTGAGGCTAGGATAAGTGACAGGAGCCCTTATCTAAAAAATCAAAAGGAGATAGAAACATGCCGACAGCTTTTAGGCAGACCCAGGGCCTGCAGACGCAGGGACTGTTACTGCAGACAGTGTGAAGGAGACTCTCTCCAAGGACCCATCCAGTCTGCAGGGAAAGACCCTGCAGATAGGGGTGGATTCTTGAAACGGGGCTCAGTGTTGTATGGAAAGACAAGTTCTGACCTCAAGGAAAGGGCAGAACTACACAAAGGTCTGACAAAGTTAGAAACGAGTGTACAGATAGACACAGAGTCTGTACAGGGCCACAGGCTGGGCAGACGGGGCCTGCACAAACAGGCATGCCTCCACAGGCTGAAGAAGCATTGAATGACTCAAGGTCTCCAGACAGAAATGAGTTCTTCAAGCAGGGGCCCTCTGTGTATACAAGGATAGCTTTGGAGAGACCCGGGCGGGCACTACCCAGGGAAGGTCAGACAGGCTTGGCAAATAGGCAAAGACTGGAAACTGAGAAAGCCTCTACAAACAGGTACAGACTCTACAGGTACAGAGGAGCTCTGCAGCCCGGGGAAGGCCACGCTAATGTGGATAAGAAAGGACTCTGTAGAAAGGGCAGAATCTGAAGCTATGGACAAGCACGTCAATGCACAAGGCTTTGCAGACAGGAGCCACACCCACAGCCATAACAAGGTCCTCTAGTCAGAGCCCTGGAAAAGCTCCGTAGACGCGCCAGAGCTTCATATGCAGGGCATCTCCAGCAAGCAGACAATGAGAAGAGGTGCAGAAAACCATGGCAGCCTTTGCGAAGAGATTTTGGATCTGTAAAATGACCTCCATCCTGTGATCAAGTCGGGGAGCCTGTAGAAGAACTGAGGCTCTATAAGCCTGCAGAGGAACTACATAAGCCTACAAGGATCCACAGACTGGTTCTTTCAATGGCATTGACTTCTCCAGAGAGGCATGGTGCTGCGGGTTGAGCCACAGAGAAGCCAGTGCTGTGTATAAGCACGTTCACTCTGGACACAGCCGGATTATGAAGCAGGCCCAGGTCTGTGGGGAGCCCCAGGTCCAGCAAACAGGGGCAGGTTATACAGGTCAGTTTGGAAATGGCCGAGGCTCTGTCAGCAGGGATGAGCTCTGTCCACAGGAGTGTACAGACGCGGAGGCTCTACAAACAGGGATGATGTTTACAGAAGCACGTGGGTGTTCCCAGACAAACATCACCCCTGTCCAGCGAGAAATTCTCCACTGGAACAGCTGAATGAATTTCTACCCAGGTCAATTCAGACAGGCTGTACAAAGAGGGAAAGTCCTGAAAAAGATCATGGGGTCACATGTGAGCATCAGGCCCTGCAGAACAGGTGTGGACAGAGCATGGTTCTAAAGCGGGGGGAAGCTCGCCATCAGGGCATAGACAGAGACACAATAACCATCCTGTGTGAATTATTCCAGAACGGCACTTGTGTCCCACCCTATTGGTGGACACCCCTCCCAATTGGCATGTCCTCAGGAATTTCATTCTGGAGGGAGGGAAAGGTTGGTGCCCTGGGTCAGCTTGAGGAAGGGCTTGTCTCCCAGAGAGAGACTTCACACAGTTCTGACAACTTGTCAGAGCACCTTGCAGGGCAGATCGGAGCACACAGACCAGTGACAGTGGTGGGTCGGTGATGGACGGGACTGCGCTTTGAGCAGGACTGCTTGGTCATGCAAACCTCCTGTGCTCCGTTCAATCCTAAAGCTCATGGCAGGACTTGGGCGGAGCTCACTGGACCTCTATTTGTTCCTCCTCTCAATGTGGCCATATTGGTTATATTTCCTTTCTCTGCTTTTCACTTTTATCCGTTCGGTTAGTCTGGTGAGCACGGGCGACTGAGCCTAGCTCAGGACCGTCAGGGAGTAAGCTCTGATCCTCAAAGTTCTGATAACATTACGACAGAGGAAACAATTGTCCCTAGACAGGGACAGGCACCATAAGCAGACAAATCTTTGCAGACAGACACCTAGACAGAGGTGCTGGACTGCTCTGTAGCCAGGACAGGCTGTGAATGCCCGCATCTGGAATAAAAGCACATCTCACACGAGGAGCGATGGAAACCGCGGAGAGACATCTAGCCTGCGAACAGGTACCGGCTTTACAGGCTCGACACACAAGACAGAAGTTCTGTCACTTCAGGATGGAGACTCTGTACAGGACTGTGACAGATTCTGCAGCAACTAACAGGCTCAGGTGACCGCAGAAGGTTGGGCGAATGAAACATGCTTTCCTGATGCAGCCTTGAAAGCAGCTGAATATACATGCGGGCTCTGCAAACAGAGCTTGCTGGAGTCCGTGCTCTGTGGTTCTGAGTGTGCAGAGGAGAAGCACTACGGAGGACCGGGGAGAAGGGAGCTACCAACCCAGCCTCTCACATTCAGCTGCCTGAAGGATTCCCTGCACTACTGCTTTGGAAACTGCAAACCGTCGTGGGTAACTTCCACATCTAACCAAAATCCTGTTCCGTAGGCAGACACAGTCAGTGGGTTCTGAGTCTGTCACATGGGTGCCCCTGGCGCACCAGAGACTTCTTTGCTCTTGATTGGGCATCCCAGCCCTGCCCCATCAGCAGCAAGAACACCCTAGGCTCTGCTGCCTGTGTGACAGGGGAGACCAAGGTGAGGTAAGAGAGTTACAGAACCGTAGGTGGCTCCCATTCTTCACTTCTTTGTCCAGGGCTCCTGAGGGCTGGGCTCAGGACAAGGTGGCCTGGAAAGGGGGTGGTGCAGGGGGCTGTCCCTGCTGAGTCACACTAGTGGAGGCTGTGGGCTGGGGCAGTAATGGGAGCCAGGACACCAGCCTCTCCTGCAGCCCCGGGGAAACCTTGTGCAGGTCTGGGTCTCCCAATATGGAGCAGGACAAATCCGTAGATAGTTGTTGACTGACTGAGACTCGGCCCAGACAAATGCAGAAGGGAGTCACCAGGCGTGCTAACAATGCCTCCAGGTGTAATCACTGTGTGACGATGACACACAGGACAGACAGGCACAGTGGTCATCTCCAGCAACAGAAAATGTGATGATACACCATGACGGGACCCTTCAGCAAAGACACTGAGTTTATATACAAAACCAGTGACAGGAGAGTGACCAGGGACCCAGACAGGCAGAGACCTGAGGCACAGACAGTTGAGAGCTAGGTCTATAGCTCTCAGGTATATAGGTCATGTAACTATAAGGGCTACAGCGAGGTGGGAAGATCACTGCCCCACCTCAGGGCCACAGAGGAGAGAAGGGCAGATTGGCAGCCGGAAGTCGTGCCTAGGCTGGCCCCACCGGGAGGGGCAGCATCACCCCAAGGGTGGCTAGGAAGGCGCCCCGATACCCGCAGCCTGGAGCGTCAGATTGGGGCTGAAACCCTGTCCCTGTTGCCGGGGCAGGTGAGGTGAGAGACCTTTAAAGCAGGGGTCCCCCCTTTTACTCCTCTAACACCCCTGTTTCCTCCAGGCGCCTTCCCTCAGAGGTTCCATCTTTTCCCAGAGGGTCGCCTGTGGCCCACGAGCCCCCACCCCTGGAAGTTCCCTTTTACTTTCCAGCACCTCCCCAGAGGGGATGCCATCCCATGCCCTCCTCATCCCTAGAAACCCCCTTACCTTCCCAGGGTTCCTTCTCTCCTGCACTGGCTCCCTTCTTCGCCCCTCCCCCAGGGGCTCTAACCTGCTGTGCAGGCTCTCTTCTGTTTACTTCTCCTCTGGGCACGCCTTCTCCCTCCCAGATGTCCCCTCCTCCTCCTCCTCAGGTGCCCTCCTGCCCCTCCTCCTACCTTCTTTCTTCCTTGGGTACCTGAGGATAAACCCTGAGGTTTCTTTGCTTAACTTCCAGGAGAGAGGGCACAGCCTGATGGAGGGGTGGGGGGTTAAGCAAACCTACTTTGGGGGTGACAGCGACCCCCGCCCACATGCAAAATCTGCTACTTCTTCCCCTCACGCTGGCTTGCTACAGTGGCCCTCCACCGCCGCCGGTGCCACAAACCCAGGGTTCTCATGGTGGGGCTGCCCTCAGCTCTGCCAGCCACTAGCCCTTCTGTGAGACCCTGAGGCCTGGAACACCGTGCCCTCCACCGCTTCCCAAGGCCCCCTCCAGCCCAGGCCTACCTTCTGGGAACTGCTCCTGCACTCGCCTTCACCCTGCTTGTGGGCAGTGCGAGGCCTGGCAGGAAGCCAGGATCTACCCATTGCCCCTCCCTCCTAACCGTAACTCAATCCCAGCTCCTGCCTTGCAGGACACACCCCAGTGTTCGGAGCAGCATGGACTGGGTATTCAGACTTAGTCAGTCAATAAATATTGACCAAGTTGTCTGGGAGCCAGCCCCCTTCCCAGGGCCTGGTAGACTCACTTCTTGGGTATCAGTGGGCAGAGAAGGTAAGGGGTGAAGGCCTGAGCTGGGCTGAGAAAACACTGATTTCTGTTCCTGGGAGCTCAGATAGGCAACTCCCCACCACCACACACACACAGGGAGGAGGGGTCCTTTTGGATCCAGGGGTTCAGGCCACTGTAGTGAATCTGTGATATCAAAGCCACTTTAGGAGGGGAAGGAAATGGCCGGGACAGCC